CCCCCACCCGAGCGCCACCGTGTCCCGGCCGGGGGGGCGGCAGCCCCCAGGAGCAGCTGGTAGGTGGGCAGCAGGATGGAGGAGGGCGGGACGGCAGGCTCACGCTGCTGATACAGCTCGGGGCAGCGTTTTGGCTGTAGCAGGCAGGAGACTGGTTGGCCCTGCAGTACCAGCTGCCGCTGCCCTGCCACCCCACGCTGCCACAGCGATCCTGACCCACGGCTGCCGCAGAGGATGGGGATGAAGCTCCAACACCTCCACAGGGACCCCCAGTCAGCACCCAGCGCTGAGGTCTCTGGCTAGCGGTGGACCCAAGGAGCACCATGGGCTCCTCTGCACCAACACCTCGCTGCCCTCGTCCCCCCATTCCCCGCAAGAGTGGGGCCAGGGGCCCCCCTTTTATGGAACCATCCATTACCACCCTCCTAGAGCCTGCGGAGCACGGGCTGACCCTGCACCGCAAGCACAGCCCCCCGCCCTGCCGGGGCTACCCACCAGCGCTGAGCAGCCCTGGGAGCTGCTTCCCACCCCGAGCATGAGGCTGGAGGGCTGGGACCTGCCCTCCGTCTGCCCCCGCTGCAGCGGATCCCGGCGGCGCGTACCTGCCGGTGAGGAAGAATCCTCGGAGCTGCCCCCAACGGCCCCTCTAAGGTCTCATGTCTCCCGCAGGAGAGCTCTGCTCCGCCTGCCCTCGTCTCTCTCCGCCACTGCCCTGCACTGGAAGTCATATGCTGCTTTATAAACTATTTACATACAATGGGGCCTTTATCGGCCCCTGAACAACACACTTTAGCATTCAGATCCAACGCCCTGACTTCCGCCCACCCCGGCCGAACAAAGTGCCTGTGTGCTGCATTCCCGCTGCCCAGCCCCACACCCGCTCCCACCTCACCCTGCACCCACCGTGGCGATGGCCCCCTGACCACCCACCGCTGCCCCACGGGACCAGCATCACCAGGCTGGACGGCCAACCGGGGTGCCTGGGGGGGTCCCTTCCCTAGGTTTCACGGCAGAGCCCAGCTGCGTGCCCATCCTCGGATGGCGTGGGGCAGCGTGACCGGAGCTGGGGTCTGGCTGCTCCCCGGCGCAGTGCTGAGCGCTCCGTGGGGATCCCTGGGGCTGGGTGTGCTTGCGGCCGCCCGCCGTGGGTCTCGCCATGCCCTCATGGCTCTGCTCCCAGGGCATTGGTGCCGGCAGCGACGGCTGGGAGGGCACTGGAGCTGCCCTGCGTGTGCCCTGTCCCACTAGGGACATGGGAAAGACAGGGAACGTTGGCAGCGTGCTAACGGAGGCTGCGCCCAGCGCTGGAAGCCGCGTGCTGCAGCGGCTGCACTCCTCTCCCGGGATGGGGGGTGCTGCTGATGCTGCCCCACTGCTCAGCCATGCTGGTGGGGGCAACAGAATGCTTGCAGACCCCCCGTGCCCGTGTCCCCCAGGGCTGGTGTCCCAGCCACTC